TGTTTCTTGTGGTATATTATTCAATTCTGAGTTTCATTATATGGATGGAGGATAACACTTGTTATTTTTTTTTAATCCTGGCACTTAGTATAATTAATAATTCCATCACACTAGCTTGCCATTGTTTCCTTGTTTTACAACTGGCAATTCAGAAGCTATTACAACAAGGTGGAGCCCCCTCAAACATGACTAGGTACTGGTTACCCCTGGACATTATGATCTGGTATGATTTCATACGAGTATATGGACCACCCCTACTCTACCTGGAGCATTGAAAGTTACATTAAATATTTTTCCTGAGCTAGTTGGGTTACAAGCTAACCTGAAGGCAAGTGAGCGCAGCGAACGAGCTCCAACCTAAAGGTGAGTGAGCGTAGCGAACTACCTCTAACCAGGACGTTATTGAGCCATGCGAACGAGCTCATCTTGAAAATGAACGATCATGTGACATAAAACCACAATAGGACAGGACGACGTCTGTCGGGCCAGCTAGTTCTTAATATTTTACAATAATGCTGCTTAAGTAAACAAAATAAAAGCTATTAAAGAGGAAGGGCTGTATAATAAACTACTTTTATAACGCTTTATTGAAACTGATGTCTATTAATAGCTAGGCATTTTATAACTCGGTTAACCAACCTTTTGGCTAATTTATATCTAATTTACCGACCCCACTGTTATTCTGATGAATCAAAATTAAATATAAGTAATTCATAATTAGCAAGCTATTCGTAGGACGCTTACCTATTCAAATAAAACTCAGGTAATCAGAAGGACGAATGTTTCCTTCGCCACTTCGTGCGTGAAATAAATCGATGTCAGTAATGGAAAATAGAGAAAAACTAATCAGAGACGAAACAATTTGTAAATCTGTTCGTAAAGCCTCAAAGAAAATTACACACAGCTGAATCTCTTTCTTCCGAAATTCAATTGTGTTTTCAATAAAGTTAAGATTTCTTTCCTTGTGGCTAGTAACGATTTTTCAGTATGTTTATTACAGTATTCCTAAACATCAAGAACACTTCAATTACAGCCAACCAATTTCTAGCATTTGTTTTTTTGGGTTACAATTTAGCAATTGTACTTCGTGGCCACTTTACACATGACGAATAAAAACTATGAAAAACTCTCTTAAAAAGGGAATTAGCTATTACTGCAGGTCTCATGGTAAGATCTGGACACGGGCCGATTTGCTTTTACGTTTTGATCTCCCCTCAGGCAAAAAACACAGTCCTTTCAAATTGTTTATGAGTGTTTGACTTGTATTGTTAGATGTATAAAAATTCTGCTTATGGATAACAAGAGCAAAAGTGGTCAGATTTTTAAGAAATTATGTATAAACTTGAAAAGGTACTACATTTATTCGAAAGAGTTCGCAAACCAGGATGATCGTTCAATGGAAACGAGAATCTTGTTTGGGTTGAAAATTGTTTTCCCCATTTTGTCCCTAAAAACATGTAATTTTTCGATTTTTTTCATACTATTTTGTAGGGCTTAGAATAAATATTTAGTATATTGAAGAGTGTTTTGCCCTTAAAGGTTCGGAAGAAATTGAAAAGCGTAAATTTAAAATGCCCATGTCATTTTTAAGGAGAATAAGTAAACTGTGTATGAACATAGTTTGATCAAATTTGGAAAATTTATTTATTTAATACTTCACTATTGACTTCACACAAATTGAAAAAAACCCATTTTATTAACTTAATTGAAGCATCAAACCTAAGCACTCGTTAAAATAATTATCTTTAATTAGTAAAAATATGGCATTTGCAAAAATATATTTGAGGGAAATCCAATATGGTAAATAGAAATCCACAAATTCTGCAGGTTTGCTGTTCTAGGGGTGTTTATTCTTATGGATGGAGATAATTATACATTTCAGTATTTTTTAGAGAGCGAAAAAAAATATCTGTTTATATGGTATGGGCCTTCGTATGTATGAGAGCTAAAATAAAAACAGCTTTAGAATACCTAATTTCTTAGAGATACTTTTAAATGATTGCCACAATGTGTTCAGACTTTGGACGTGGCCTGCATGTTTGTTGGGTCTAATGTTGTTTAAGCGGTGCAAAACACTTTCTCTAATGGGATACCCACGACCCATTAAATGTTTTAGAGAGTGAAAACAACATGTGATGAAGATCCTTGTTTTCATATGTTTTGAACAGTATATTCAAAATAATTAGATATGAAATATTAGCTTTCACTGTCCACCAAGTTTACTGCATTTGGTTTTACCACAGCTATTTGTTGTACTTTAGTAAATATAATTTTAATTGCGTTATGGAAGTTGAAAAAGTTTTTAAATAAGCAAAAGTAAAAAGAAATATTAAATGATCACAATGGACATGAAATAGTCGCGTAAACGTAACATTACACAATTAAGGTAGTTGGGACTTACTGTAGTATATGTTTTGTACACTATTCATAAAACAAAATTATTGAAAGTATTCCATTTGTATCTGTTTTTACAAACAATTTAGAAATTAATTTAATCTACCTTTGACACTATTGAAAAATTACTAGTAAAAAACCAAGCCAGCTATGACTGATGAAACAGAAACGTCTAAATCAGTTAAAGTAAGAACGTTTTAAACGGAACTCTGAACAAGGCTGAGACTTCATCAGTACAGATGATTTGCTACATTCCAGGGTCGGATGTCAAAGTCAAAGACTGTCAAAGTCTTGTTTGAAGGCGAGTGGAGCGTAAAGTGAGCTTAACTCTCTCATAAGATCTAAGATATCCAATGGCAGTCAGTCTTGGCCTGGGGTAATGGGTTTATATCAATGGACCCTTATCAATAGAATTGTCTGATAGTCATTCGCCTTTGGCTTTTCATATGCATTGCAGTATAAATATTATAATCTACCAATCTTTTGTAAATATTGTGTTTCAATTTCATAAAGGAGATTTGGGTCCGAAGATGATATCCTTGACACTACTACATAGGACTATAATGTATAATCGCAGAGAATTGGATGAAGAATTCCGATCAGCTAACTTAAAATATTAATCTGTAACTAACAAGATTATTTTTTTTAGCTCAAAATAATATAATTTAATTCACTAGGACTGCAGGATTGCTGCGGCGGGGTTAAACTACACTATTTTACAGAAGTAATTATGACCAATTTGTGCATACTTCATTATTTCAATTAAATGTTATTATTGTGTGTTATTCCTTATTTTTCTTAAATAGTTTGAAAAAAATTTCCATTCATTAATAAACATAGTGATTCTTTATTATTTTTGAAATTTTCGGAGGTATGTCTATTCATTATTTTAATGATTAAAACTATAAACATACTTAATAACATTCGAACAAATGTAAGTGAGACAAAATCTACTACTTCAAAAATACTTTATTATTTTTTTAAACGACCTTCAGAAGTATTTAGCTGAACTTGTTATCCTAAATGAAGTAAATGAGACATAACAAACGATCTATCTTAGAAGCATTTATTGAGTAAAGTATATAAGTGCAGTTGAGTAAAAGTAGTAGATATTGAAGTGATGACGTTGGCCTAAGTATAACCTGCATCCGATAGCTGTCAGTGGCTGTGACGATAAAAGAGAACTTCGTTGGTTATCGTTGATCTAAAATATTAAACTTTCCAACAGACACTTCACTTAACATTTTCTGCTGAGTGCTCTATATAGAATCTGAAGTAAAGACTTTGCTAAACAATGTATGTTCTGTATGAGTAACAGATAAATATAATGCACCGTTTACTGACCTTTTGGAGTTTGCTGCATATTATTTCATACATTTTCTGCAATACGTTCAGTTTTTATTGGATGAGATGGTTAAATAAATGTGTATATCCTTTAGTTATAATTAATATAAAATTATTGTGTGATCAATGGTGATTGGGAAAACTGCAAATTCTGTTCTTTTCAGTAATATCAAAGATTACATATGCTACGCAAAATTTGCGTAGCATATGTAATCTTTGGTAATATTATTAGTTAGTGTTTAAAGACAATTTACATTGGCTTTCCCAGGAATATCAAATTAAATAATCTAGTTCAAGTAGCTGGTATATTTTATAATTTATTATAGAATATTCTTTACATCTGAACTACCCTTCGTCGTTCTAAACTTTCAACCATAAAAATTTAATATAGTGTAAACTTAACATATAAAAAGCATATTAATCAAAAGATTTGATTGTTTACATAAAATATTCAAGTCAAATACTTGATTGAAACTCTTTTCTAGTTTTCTACCTTGATTCTTTTTACTGATTAAGATCTTTACTACATACGATCCTAGCTCAGGTTTTATAGGCAACGTGCAAAGTTTACCTTTTTTGTAGTCATAAAGATTTTATATATTAGATTTCAGGTTATAAAGAAAACTTTTATATGATAACTATATATCATAGAATATATATATATATATATATATATATATATATATATATATATATGTATTAAAAACTAATTTTAGTAATAATTTTCTTTTTAACTATGTTTTTTTTTTATTGGATTCCTATTAATATGTAATAATGTCATTATTATACATACGAATATTTAGCATCATCGTATTCGACATTCTAATTTGGTTTATCAATCGTTAGAATAATATTCGTTAGCTAGTAGTTATAATTATGTATGCAATGTTTTTTTTTAGTTAGCATTTACTATCAGGAATATCACAAGATAAACTCAACGGAAAGTACTCTCAGGTACCCCAGTTAATTGAGCGGAGCGAAGCGAAGCTCTTATTGTTTTAGTTAGAAAATATAAATAAAATTAGAAGCTTTAACATTTAAAGTTCAGAAGTTTATTTACAATTCAACTCAAGACTGAAACATAAACATGACTGATATTGTTTACCTTCAAGTCTTCAACTAACATATGATACATTTAACATATGTTGATATGTTAATATAACATTATAATACATCTTTCCCCTTTAAAAAAACAGCAAACAAATTTGAAAGAATTAACTAAAAACAATAACCAACCAAACTTCTCCCTTCTTTTGAGACCATTATATTGTATTCTGAAATCTTGATGGTAGCTTGATTTCTCTACGCGGTCTTAGTTGTACTGGCTCGTCTTGCCTTGGAACTGACTGGGAATTGTTTTGTTGAGTGAGTGATGGTTTCAGATGGCGGCGATTTCTTCTTAATGTAGCTCCGTTATCACCTTCTACCCAGTAACTTCTTGGAGTTGGTCCTTGATTAACAATCTTTCCCTGCTCCCACCTTCCTTCATTTCTGAAGACAACTCTTTCGTTATTTCTTACAACCCTTAAGTCCTTGGCTGACCGATCATAGTATTTTTTCTGCAGCTGTTGTCTTGTATTTAACCTGTCTTGTACTCCATCATTCAGCGTTGGTTTCAGCAGTTCCTCGGTAACAGGGATTGTTGTCTTACACCTGCGTTGAAACATCAGCTGAGCTGGAGAATATCCCAGATGCTTAACGGGCATGTTCCTAAGCTCCAATAAAGCCATTTTCAAATCCTTATTGTCATACTGTACTTTGGATTGTGCATAGCCTGGACTGCGTGTCACAATTTCAAAATTCCATTCACGGGCAAATTCCCTCATTTGGGCACTGTTGTAAGGGACATTATCCGCTACCATTATATCAGGAGGGCCAAATCTACTGAAGATGTCTTTGCATGCTGATATTACGGACGTTGCTGATTTACATGGCATTTTAACCAGCTCCAACCAGTTTGAGTAAGCATCCATCATGACCAAGTACACATTTCCTCCATATGAAAATATGTCACATCCGATACGCTCCCATGGTCTAGTAGGTATAGGATACGGCATAAGGGTTTCCTTTGCATTACTCCTGGAAAACCTTTCACATATCCTGCAACGAGCCACAAAACTTTCAATGTCTGTAGCCATTCGTGGCCAATAAAGTATCTGTCGAGCCCTAGCTTTGCACTTTTCAATTCCTCCATGCGCGATATGGATTCGCTGAAGCATGTCCTGTCGTAGCTGTCGTGGCACAATCAGTTTGTGATTTAAAAACAATAAACCATCTTCTTCAGATACCATATGTCTTTGGTTCCAATAGTGGCGTACTATCTCTGGGGTGTCTTGCTTCCTTTCTGGCCAAACTTCTTTGCAGTATCTCTTCACGATAGCAGTTTCTTGGTCCTCTTCAGTGTAACGCTGGAATAATTTCTTCTTCTCTTCAGTCATAGGCAATGAACTTGTTAAACTGTGTACTTGAAATTCTGAAGACACTGTCATTCCTGTGTCATTCCTCTTCACGATAGCAGTTTCTTGGTCCTCTTCAGTGTAACGCTGGAATAATTTCTTCTTCTCTTCAGTCATAGGCAATGAACTTGTTAAACTGTGTACTTGAAATTCTGAAGACACTGTCATTCCTGTGCATTTTAATGCTGCTCTTGACAACGTATCAGCAATAAGTTGGCTACTACCAGGTAAGTACTTTACTTCCAGATCATAATTCAAACACCTTAGTCTCATTTTCTGTAGCCGACCTGGTACCACGTGCAAATCTTGTTGAAAAATATTTACAAGCGGCTTGTGGTCAGTCTGAACTGTTACTTTATAGCCATAAATAAACCTGTGAAACTTCTCAACAGCAAAAACTATAGCTAGAGTTTCCTTTTCAATTTGCGAATATCTCTTCTCTGTATCAGTCATTGAACGGGACATGAAAGCCACTGGCTGCCCACTCTGCAACAAACAACATCCTAGGCCATCTTGAGAAGCGTCTGTTTGTATTTCAAGAGGTCTTCGAGAGTCAAAGTATACCAAAACTGGTTCACTGGAAATTAATGTCTTGATAATCTTCAGAGCATCTTCATGCTCTACGGTCCATAAGAAGTCCACATCCTTTCTTGTCAAATATCTGAGGGGTGCAGTGATTTTTGCTAAATTCGGTATGAACCTCGATAAATACTTTAGCATGCCCAATAACCGCATTACCCCTTTCTTGTCCGTGGGTGGGTCCATTTCAACTATGGCCTTTACATAATCTGGGTCGGGTTGGATTCCTGCAGCCGATACTATGTGTCCCAGATACTTAACTTCGCTCTTCTTAAATTGCATCTTGTTTGGATTAAACTTGATTCCAAGTTTAAGGGCTGTGTCCAAAACTCTCTTTAAATTTTCGTCATGCTCTTCCGATGTCGTTCCTCCTACAATAATATCATCATGTACTATGTTAACTCCCTTCAGGTTTCCAAAGCATTTGTAGTTATTTTTCTGGCACAATTCTGGACCCGAACAGATTCCAAAAGGAAATCTACAAAATTGATATCTCCCAAATGGGGTACTGACTGTGCACAGTTCACGACTCTCCTCATCTAAAACAATTTGAAAAAACCCATCCTTAAGATCCAAAACAGTAAAATATTTGTAACCACTCAATGTTACCAGAATATCATCAGGGTGTGGCATTAGAAAGTGCTCTCTCATTACCACCTTGTTCAATGGCATCGGATCTATGCAGATTCTCAAAGACTTATCGGGTTTTTCCACGATCACCAGAGGATTGACCCATGCTGTAGGTTTGTCAACTTTTCGAATCACCCCAGTTTCCTCAAGTTGGTCCAACTTTTCCTTTAGTTTTTCCTGTAAACTGTAAGGTACTCTCCGTGATTGTCGAATTTGTGGGATAGCACCCTCCTTAAGCTGAATATGATGAGTGCTTGGAAACTGTCCCAATCCTTCAAAAGCTGTCTTGTAGCCGGTTAAAACATCATCCTTATCCTTAAAATTCAAACATATTGATGACACTCTCTTAATGAGTCCTAAATTGACACAATCGTTCAGTCCTAAAATTGGCAGTTCATGTTCGACATTCACTACAGCAAAATTCACATCTGCAGTTACACCTGTAATTGTTTTACATTGTAACATCACAAGACCTAGTGGTTTGATTTTGAATTTTTCATCTCCCCAGGCTGAGAGTACACAAGAACTACGTTTTACGTGTGTAATGTTCATTTTCCGTACATAACTAGCAGGTAAAATACTGATCTCTGCACCTGTATCTAGTTTAAATCTAACTTGTGTACCACCAACAGTCAAGTTTTCCGTCCACGATTTTTCACTTTGACCTTTCACTCCACTAATGTTTAAGCTTACCGAGCCTAAACTAACATCGCTCACACAAGAGTCTTCATCGTGTTGTTCCTTGTTTGTAACAGCATGAGATTTTATAGTTTTACTCCTACAGACCTTTGCAAAATGATTTTTACCATCACATTTCGAGCATGTTTTGCCATATGCAGGACATTTACCCCGAACATGTTTGTAGCCGCAAAAGCTACACAGATCATTCTGTTTTTCTTTTGCAATACTCCGCGAAAGTTCTTGATTTGGTACATTATTGACAACACATACACTGTATGGATCCGACTTAGTCCCCGAAAGCTTGGTTTCATTGTGCTCTACAATAGTCCTACATTGATCCTTGCTACTCTCGACAATCATACAGAAATCAATAGCTTTCTTCAAGTCAAGTTTTGTATCTCTTAATAGACGCTCTTGAGTACTTTTATCTCTTATACCTAAGACAATTCTATCTCTAATCATATTGTCAGGTTCAAGAAACTCGCATGATTTAGCTGCTATTTTTAACTGCATAACAAACTTACTGAAGTCTTGACCTTCTTCCTGCTTCATTCTATAGAATTTAAACCGCTCAAATATGACATTTTTCAGAGGACAACAGTAAGATTCAAACTTATCAAGTACGCAATCAAAACTATCTTTGTCATTATCTTCAAATTTAAAAGTATTATATACATCTAGGCCATCATCGCCTAACAGATTAAGCAGCTGCGCAATCTTAATTTCATCCTTAAGTTTCTTACCATGACTAGTAGCTATTAAGTACAGTTCAAACTTCTGACGAAATCTTTTCCAATTTTCACTCACATTTCCTTCAAAACTCATAGGTTCAGGCAACCTAAACAATCCAGATACTTCCATTATTTCTTCTAGGTTTCAAAATACACCTGACACCATGTTTTAGTTAGAAAATATAAATAAAATTAGAAGCTTTAACATTTAAAGTTCAGAAGTTTATTTACAATTCAACTCAAGACTGAAACATAAACATGACTGATATTGTTTACCTTCAAGTCTTCAACTAACATATGATACATTTAACATATGTTGATATGTTAATATAACATTATAATACACTTATACTACACTCCTGCTTTTGTTTTACAAATGATCCTCCTGAACGGCTGAAGCGATCTGCACGAAATTTAGCACAACCATAGTAACCAACCATGGGAAGGTATAAATCTGAAATGGTACAAATCGGACCAGAGGGCTTTTCCCTAAGTGAATTTAAACTTTTGGAAATTTAACATTAGCCTTATGGGGCAATTGGTTGCCATGACATTTTTTGCGAGATAACAACAAAAAGGTAAACAAGAGTCGCAACATATGTTAGGTTAGTCAACAAATCATCTAAATAAATAGCAAATTACAACAGTACAGGAAAAAATGGAAGAACAATCTGATTGATATCATTGAGCATAATTTACTACAAAATGATTAAGCAATATTTTTTATGGTCGCCAGAATAAGGCTGATGCACCATTTTGCATTTTTTTGACTTTAAATAATCCAAATAGCCATTCCATTTATGTAAACCAAATATAGGCCTACGATTAAGTTTGGATACTGCAAGTACCAACATATACGTACTTTCCATAGACGTGCCAATCAATAATGCAGACTTTGAATAGGTACTGCAATTAGGAATTCCATTAAAAATGTGAATCAAAGATACCACTGAGTTTAGATACTGCAAGTAGACATTCCATTGACGTGAACCAGACGTGCCATTGTCTTGGATACTGCAAATAAGCACTTCGTTTATGTGAATAGCTTTGGATTCTGCAAGAACACAATTCATTTACGTGAACCCGACGTATCATTGACTTTGAATACTGCAAATAGACATTCCATTTAAGTGAACCAGAAGTAAGTCTATCATTGACTTTGGATACTGCAGATAGGCATCTTATTTATGTGAAACAAATGGACCATTGACCTTGGATACTGCAAGTAGATATCCCAATTATGTGAAGCAGGTGTAACATTGATTTAGGATACTGCAAGTAGACAATTCATTTACGTGAACCAAAATATGTACTTGAGTACTGTATTAAGTTTGGATGCTGGAAGTAAAGTGAACCAGGTGGACTTTGAATACTGCAAATAGGAATGTTATTTATCAGAACCAAATGTATCATTGACATTTGATACTGCAATCAAACATTTCATACAGATGAAAGGTAGATTTTTTGGTTCCTGCATTTACGTGAACCAGACTTATAATTGATTTTGGATTCTGCAAATAGACATTCCATTTATGTGAACCAAATATATAATTGACATTGGAATCTGCAAGTATTTAATCTCATTTATGAGAAACAGATGTAGCAAGGACTTTATAAAAGTATTGGATTAATATGCTAGCTCCGCTCAATATTGCAAGCAGACAACTGCATTGTACACCTAGTATATTTATACCCAGGTATTTTTATCTCATGCCTATTTCCAGTATCATTAATTCTTAGCACGTTCGGTGCGTTAAACATACATGTGTGTTCAAGGGTTATGTTATTAAAATATCAGGTGCATATGTACCACCTGCGAACAAATTTTAACATTTGATATTTTGATAACACAGCAGCTCAACTCAAAACAACACGTTAAAACAAATCCAAATATACAAATACAATGCAAATACAAATATACAAATGCTAACCTCGTAAAACTATAAATTTTTTCAACTATAAATTAGATTTCAAACTAATTATTTCCAAAAGGTAGGTATATATCTACTTTGTCAAAAAAGTGTATTTGTCTTTATTTTTTAGTGTTTTTCTTAAAATGTGTTTTCTAATAAAATATGCCAAACAAATGTTTTTCTTTTTAAAGTCATGTTTTTAATCAAAGAGTACCTGCATCAAGATGACAAAGTTGTCATGTTAAAACCAATAATTTTGAGCATTTAGGACGCAGAGATATCTAGCGCATCAAATAGTAAGACTAAATATCATCACTGATACCTCATTTAAGGTAGGCCACTAGAAAATAATTTCAATCAAGTATTTCACTCGAATATTTTATGTAATAAGATGGATTAGAGGTGAACCTTAAACTACTATAATTGGAAAAAACTGAAAGAATTTCTTTCCAAATAAAATTGCAGTAACATTGCATTGTCCTATAATCCATTAAATAATTACCATCAAAAAACTCTGTTCAGAGATTTGTAGAAAAGTGACAGGTTTTTAGAAGGTTTACAAATGAAGTGTTGGCTAGTTTTGAGGACAAAGCAGTAAACAAAGTGATAACTAACGGTACGAGTGGCCCTGAACCTTAATGTGAAATGTATTGAGTATTGATCAGGTGGTCCTTCGATAAGCTGAGTTTTATTGGAAAGGAATACTTAATAAACAATTTGTCGCACAATACACAAACATAACCTATATTAGCTTTCTTTCCTAATACTTCTACAACTATTTAAGTGGAAGTGGACCTATTTGGTTATGACAACTGAGTACAAATGAACTTAAAATATAAATTGGAAAGATGGTAAAATGTATTGCTCAAATGAAATACATGACTCATATGTGTGAATTCCTCCATACCAAGTAGCTACTGCTATTAATTTTCATGGTTCAGGACTACTGAACTATTTATGAGTCGGTACATTACAAGAGTAAAAAACCATAAATTTTATAGGTTTGAACACGCCAAACTGATTTTTGGAAGGGATTTTTTGGGTTTTTAGACTCAAAGTTTCGATTTTTAATTTGTATTTCAAATCATTCTGTTTTACTATTCATACATTAGTAAACAAACTACATTATCGTACAAACAATTAAGGCATATTTTTTACTTTACTTTTATGCAGAATATTGTAAATTTTTATTATTTAATATAATGTAAAATTAATTAAGTTGCTTTATTAATACACATTTTTTAAGTTTAGCTGCATTTCTTTACCGTAGGTGTTTCATTAAAGATTAGTTGATAGATGTTGTACTGTCCATGACCCTAAGACATTTCTGAGTCCATCAATAGATTACCAATCTAACATTTCATTTGGGCTGATTGCTGTACGTTTAATATACTTTATAGCTACAAACTTAGGCCTACCTTTGTAATGTTTAGTCAGAAGATATTATTTATTTGCAAATAAAAAAGTAGGTGGTATCAATTAAAAAGGTGTCTGTAACAATTTAGTGTACTATCTTTGACTATTGATCCAATAGTAAATGCTACTACCTGTAACTTTACTCATACAACATAACCTCTTTGCATGTTTAAGTAAAGGACTTTCATTAAATTTCGTTTTATTTCAACCTCCGATTTATACTATTGAGGTTAGTTAGAAAAACCATTATCTTTTGTAAGTATATTATTCGTCAAAGACGTTTTGAACACGCCATGAATTAATTACCAGATAACATTATTCCAAATCACTAGTTTGATTTAATCGCTCTTTAAAGTGCCATTTCATACAACTATATTTTGAAATTTTTTGGGACTCTTTGAAAAGGATAAACAACAGACATAGTGCAGTAAAAATAAGAGAAAAATTCCATAAACCTAAAAAAAATTAGCACAACCGGGGAATTTGGTACAGATGTTGGGTGTACCTTCCTTTTGAACATACTAAAAGTCCCCTAAAATTGAAGCTGTGCTACGGCCGCCATATTGGAAAATGGCGGCATATTTCTGTATTTTTCGCTATAGTGACTTTATTATTAGAGATACAGGAAAAAGCTAAATATACAAAATGTAGGTCATCTAAAAATACACATTTTTTGTATTTACCATCTTTCTCTAAACCCAACGGTTTTCGAGTTATTTGTTATTAAGTATATTTGGTTTTTTCTATTTATCAAAAATAGGTGAAACACATGGAAATTGACCGTTACTTTCAAGGATTATGATAATTTATCCCATTTAGTTAAATAGTGTGATACTATAAAATCTTAAAATTTAAGCTTATTTTATGAGTAAAACTGCAGACTCAGCAAATTTCCATTTGATTGGATGTTTTATTAATTTTATTTAAATATAATTAGATTCAACAGGTACCTAGGTTTGCTGCTACAGGTAGGTTATTATAGTGTGTTTTTTTTTAGTAAAATATCAATAACTTAGTATAAAATAATTAATTTTCCAAGTTTGATCATAATAAATCTATAAACAAACAAATTGCAACAGTTAACTAATTCATAATAATAACATGGTAGCTTAAGATTTACAATTTACAAATTTAAATATACAAAATTTGTTGTGTTTACTAAAAATATGGCGATTATTCGTCACGATTCGAATACTAACCGAAGGGGTTTTCAAAAGGAGATGAAGCAAGTAATTTAAGTACTGTAATATTAACTCGTACCAAGTATCGGAAATATTGTATGCAGTGAGGAAATCAACCATATTTTGTAAACTACGCAAAAGTCATATTAATATTTTATACTAATTTTTACCCATTTAATAAATTAACATTTTAATATTTTGATGGCACTACCACTATCACTCTGAGATCAACTAAGGGGGATGAATAATTGTCGTAAACCTTGAAAGTAACCGTCGATTGCGATGGGTTTCACCGATTTTTGATAAATAAA